GACATCTATCTACACTATAAATTGTTGTTTTAAAAAAAAAAGATTTCGCTTTTCAGATTTGTGTTTTGAAATTTGTATTATTATAAACTTTGGAATTATTTTTAGAAACTTTGGGATTTTACAAATTTAGTTATTATATTTTTGAAATTTTATGGATTTTCTTTCAATTTGTAAAATTTTGTAAGCTTTAAAAATTTTTGGATTTTTTTTTTATAAAAATAATTACAAATTGACTCCAAATTGATAAATATTTATCAAAAAAACCAATTTGTAGTTTTTAACATGTTTACATATACTTGGTGTATGTCACCATGTATTATATAATAGTCTGTGTAGTTTAGAACATAGTTCTATACTTGGGATGGTTTGCAACATATTAGTCAATACTTCGTGTAGTTAAGAATGATTTTTCTTTAATTTATCAAAGTAATAGATTTAAGTGATATATAGAGATTTAGACAAAGATAAGATAATGTTAATATGCATAGTTGCATACTTATGTGGGTATGACGATAGTCATTAAATATGTTTTGATATTGTTGACATTAGACAATTGTTTTTCTTTTAGTTTGTGTGTACTACATGTATGGATGGCATAAACCTATAGTCACATAGCTTCTTTAATGTAAAGGGCATGAGCATATTATATGATTTGTGTTACCTTCAGAATTATATACCATCCTTGAATTTTTAAAATGGAATAACATCTTAAGATTATGGATTGTCTATGTATACTGTAACTGCAGGAAACATTTAGATTGCAAGGAAGTGAAAGTCTATTGAGAATTGGTATTGAGAAGCTTCTGATCTAACGTATGGGAACCAGAACCTTGTGTTGGTAAAATTAAAAATTGGACTGGTTTATGTTAACCKGTTTTAAGTGAGTATTATTGTGTTGAAATGTACTTCATGAACTCAACTCTTTTGGTATCAAAATGTTTGAGCTTTTATTTTACTGTTTTATGTGAACTTTTGAACATTGAGCTTTGTTTTGATTCTTATCTTTGCTTTTATTTTGAATAATTTTCCTAGTATTTTTTAGTATAAAAACAAAAAATATCAATCGTCGAAAGAATAGGAAAATAAGTAAAATAACAACAATCGAACCTACACCATAGAGGAAACGATTATAAAGGCAACCTGTGATGCTAGAGAATGGAGTCAAAATCAAGACCCAAATCCAAATGAAAAGAACAAACGGCTTACCCGAACCACTCGGAGGCCAGATCCTACAACTCAGCGGTGCTACAGAGATGGAGCTTGGAGAACGGACAATCGATCGGCTGGATTGGGATGGATCTTCTGCAATTTCGACGGGAGTAGACTCTCTAAGGGTTCTGGCACGGCAACGAACATCACATCGCCTCTAATGGCGGAAGCTATGGCCATAAGAGAAGCTTTGATTCATGCGGCAAGTCTAGGACTGCAAAATTTTAGCCTTCCGTCCGATTCAAAATCCCTAATCGACCTAATCAAGACAAAGGGAGAAAAGCCGGAGATTTACGGAATTCTACAAGATATATTCCAAATCTCCCTAGATCTAAAAGTTTTAATCTTTGAGTATGTTCAAAGATCGGAAAATTCTATCGCTGATGAACTTGCAAAATCAGCCTTCTCGATGTTATCTTTCAACCCGGTTTAATCCGGTCTAGTAATGAAATATTTATGTTTTGATAAAAAAAAAAAAGTAGCATGGGTTACATCCAATGGAGGAAAATGATAATTTCTTTGTGAATACTAAATCAACTTTATATCTGAGATAAACCAAGACAATAAATTATAAATATTTGTTTTTTTACGACAATTGTATCACAAATTTTAATTAGACGATTTTCCTAATCCGAATCCTATGAATCGCGGTCTAATCCGG